TTTAGTTGTTAATTTCTTTTTCTTTTTAAATTATTTATACTCTAAAAATATTAAATTATCTACTCGCACTACATATATGTATATATAAACATATATATATATATATATATATATATATATATATATATATATATATATATATATATATATATATATATATATATATATATATATATATATATATATATGTATGTATGTGTACACATATACATATATATATATATATATATATATATATATATATATATATATATATATATATATATATATATATATATATATATATTTTTATATTTATATTTATATTTATATATATATATATATATATATATATATATATATATATATATATATATATAAAACTTCACTTATAAAAGAAAACTTTAGAAACATAAGAAATAAAAACTTTAATATCTACTTGGGAGATATAAAGTAGCGAGATATCTAAAATAAGACTTTATTCAAAATATGTCCATTAAAGGACACAGTTACCGTATGGCAACAAAATATTTGTTATGAAGTAATAAATCATGCAGCTTTAAAATACCCATTAACATTTGCATTCCCATAAACTGATCCATTTCATTAACGTTTGTTATTATTGACTTACCGGAAAAGTTGGGTACTATAAAGATTTGTTTGTTCTACAATCAGTTCTGTTATTTCTTTTGTCCAGAACTGGGAATAATAATCAAGAGGTGTAAGTTCATTAAAATTATCCGGGGCTAATGTGAAATTTTCTCCCATAAATTCCGAATCGATTAATTGCGGTTCAGTAGATCGCCACCGAAACTCGTGTGGTTTTTTTCTTTTTCTTACTGACTCAAAATTTGATATATTTTGATCTTCACCTCCACAGATTTTTTCGTTATCAGTTATCTCTTTTTCTTCATCACAATTAATTTTAGGTTGGCCAACTTCGTTTTCATCATCCGAGGATTCAGAAAGTTCTGATAATTCTGAATCAGAACCAGGCTCAAAAACAAAGTTTACAACATCCTGAATTGTGTATCGTGTTTTTTGATAGCGTTGTCTTTCCATCATAACAATTTTAGTTGTTAATTTCTTTTTCTTTTTAAATTATTTTTACTCTAAAAATATTAAATTATATATATATATATATATATATATATATATATATATATATATATATATGTATGTATGTGTACACATATACATATATATATATATATATATATATATATATATATATATATATATATATATATATATATATATATATATATATATATTTATATTTATATAAATATATATATATATATATATATATATATATATATATATATATATTATATATATATATATATATATATATATATATATATATATATATATATATATATAAAACTTCACTTATAAAAGAAAACTTTGGAAACATAAGAAATAAAATTTTAATATCTACTTGGGAGATATAAAGTAGCGAGATATCTAAAATAAGACTTTATTCAAAATATGTCCATTAAAGGACACAGTTGCCGTATGGCAACAAAATATTTGTTATGAAGTAATAAATCATGCAGCTTTAAAATACCCATTAACATTTGCATTCCCATAAACTGATCCATTTCATTAACATTTGTGATTATTGACTTACCGGAAAGTTGGGTACTATAAAGATTTGTTTGTTCTACAATCAGTTATGTTATTTCTTTTGTCCAGAACTGGGAATAATAATCAAGAGGTGTAAGTTCATTAAAATTATCCGGGGGTAATGTGAAATTTTCTCCCATAAATTCCGAATCGATTAATTGCGGTTCAGTAGATCGCCACCGAAACTCGTGTGGTTTTTTTTCTTTTTCTTACTGACTCAAAATTTGATATATTAGGTTGGCCAACTTCGTTTTCATCATCCGAGGATTCAGAAAGTTCTGATAATTCTGAATCAGAACCAGGCTCAAAAACAAAGTTTACAACATCCTGAATTGTGTATCGTGTTTTTTGATAGCGTTGTCTTTCCATCATAACAATTTTAGTTGTTAATTTCTTTTTCTTTTTAAATTATTTATACTCTAAAAATATTAAATTATCTACTCGCACTACATATATGTATATATAAACATATATATATATATATATATATATATATATATATATATATATATATATATATATATATATATATATATATATATATATATATATATATATATATATATATATATATATATGTATGTATGTGTACACATATACATATATATATATATATATATATATATATATATATATATATATATATATATTTATATTTATATTTATATTTATATATATATATATATATATATATATATATATATATATATATATATATATATATATATATATATATATATATATATATATATATATATATATATATATATATATATATATATATAAAACTTCACTTATAAAAGAAAACTTTAGAAACATAAGAAATAAAATTTTAATATCTACTTGGGAGATATAAAGTAGCGAGATATCTAAATAAGACTTTATTCAAAATATGTCCATTAAAGGACACAGTTACCGTATGGCAACAAAATATTTGTTATGAAGTAATAAATCATGCAGTCAAAGCTTATACAAAACAAATGATGTAAAAATACAGAACAACTTCTGGTAATTAACATTCACTACAAATATAATAATAAACAAAGTGTTTTGACACATCTTGATGGCCTGAAACTGATACATATTTTATTCCAAAAAATGTAGTAACAATCAAGGCAATGATTCTCATACAAAAATGCCGCTAAACTGCAATCTTTGTTTACTATTTGCATTAGCATAGTCTAAATACCGTATTAAACCAAGAAAATCCGGGCCATATAAAAAATTATACGTTTTAAGTAACATTAAACTATTTGTTGCCATACGGCAACCCTGACCTGTAAATGGTTGACTGAAGATTTTCTAAAAAGTTTGACTATTTTACGAACCTTCGATATGATAATGCCACAGTCCTCATTAAACTGGATTTCTTGTAAAGAAGAGCTAATACTTTCCTCATTCCAGCATTCTTTAGTGTTGTTTTCATCATCAGGGATGAAATCAGATGTTTCATTTTCGTTTATCACTAATTATTTCTTCTTGAGTTGTTTCTATTTCTAAGCATTTTTTCTTATAAAGAATATCACATACAGCAAGATGAATTCCATGGCAGTAGCAAAGTAGTTGTGTAACTCCCATTTCTCATCCTATTTATTTGATTACTGATGCACCGTCAGTAACACATCCAAAAATATTATTGATCAAATTCAAGCCAAATTCATTTAATTTTTCAATAAAAATATTAACAGCTCTTTCTGAAAGCAACGAACCTTTTATTCTAATCATTCCAAGACCATAGTGACATTTGTCTGAACAATGTACATTAAGACATAAATACTTTCTAGTTTTACCCGAAGTCCACTCATCAAGGGAAATTGAAAATCTTTCTCCTTTTATTTTTAATTAAATAAATGCTGAAGTTCTTGAACAACTTTTAACTGCATTGAGTTTGCGTAGTCCATAACAATTGTCTTTATAGCATGTCGATCATCAGGGATTTTAACTCCTTGAGCTTTCTAGCCATTTTTAATATTTTTGCTATTGACCAAAGTTGCAAAAGGGATACAATCAACAGCAGTTAAACGAGCCAATACATCTTCAGGTTTGCTACCTATATTATTGCAATAAGCAGCAATACTTGGCTGTATATTTTTAGACTTCTCTGAAAGAACTTTTGTCAAAAAAATTTTATGTTAGTGCTCTAAATAATACAAGAAACTTGAAGTTGGTGAATGGAATTTAAGTTCGACTGAGCAATGTTTGCACTTGTATGTTGATTTGTCTTTATTTTCCAATAAAAAATGTTTCCAAACTTTAGAGCGATTTTTTCCCAACGAAGTTGTAAATGGTGGTCAAGCAGCCGCACTATAAAAAAGCATTGTTTTGGTTTGTTTATAACTATATTTGACCAGATGTCGGATAACAGTTAACAGATAAAGGGAATATAATCACGTAGGCATGCGTAGTATAAGTTTTTTATTTTGTCTAATAGAAAACTGCGTATGCTTACGTGATTATTTTTCCCTTCCTTTTCCGGTTTCCGTGAAAAAAACGGATGAGTGGAAGCTTAGCTAATCTTAATCTTTTCTGGGCTTTGGTAAATTTGTATAAAATGCCTAGATATTTTGCTTATTTGTAAAGGAAATAACAATAATGATAAAGATAATTGTAATAATCGTAGTCTTGTTAATAATAATAGAATATTATTATATTTATAAAATGTTTATAATCTTATTAATAATAATAGAATATTGTTATATTCATAAAATATTTATAATCTTGTTAATGATAATAGATTAGTGTTATATTTAAAATTATCATAATAGTTATTACAAAAATAATGTTTTTTCATTTACTTTTAAAATAAAAATGGTTATTATTTAAAAACAATAATGATTTAATTTACTATTATAAGTGTTTATCAATGGTTTATTACATTTAATGCTATTATAAATAGTAATTAATTGAAATTAATGCTATTAATTATAATAGTTAATCTTGTAATTAATACTATCAGTTATAGTAATTGCAGTACTTAATGCTATTATTAGTTGTAATTTATCTTGCAATTAATGCTATTATTAATAGTAATTTATCCTTTAACTAATGCTATAATTAATAGTAATTAATAATAATTAATAATATTATTAATAGTAATAGTTATGTGACTTATAAACTATTTGCTGTTGATAATTTATTATTTAAAAAGGAAAATAAATACTTTGTTGTTGTTGTTGTCGTTGTGCCTAAAAGTTTTATAACAAATATTATACATATCAGTACAAATCTAATCTTTATTTACAAATAATAATTTAAAAAATTCTATTGCAATTATACAAGTAAGGAATTTTAAAAATAATTAAATAATTAGCATTTTTGTTGTTCTGTAACCTATGTAATTTTAAAACGTTAAAAAATCTTTTATCTGACTGTAGAAAATTATAAAAATATAGTCAAATATAGTTATTTATCTAGAAATATATAAAAATATAATTCAATACAGCTACCCGTGTAAAAGATTTTAGCGATATAATATAGTACAGCAAACAATATGGATAATAAAAAATGTATAGCTTTTAGTTACTATAAAAATATATTTAACAGTGTAGGAAGTCGTGAAACAGTGTAAAGAACTTCATTGGTTTTAAATCACTTTCAGCGTAGGATTCATTCTTCTCTTTAGTCGTTATTTTAAATGGACAGAGAGTTTTCATTTTATTTTTTTAATTATCCTTAAGAATATTCTTTTTCGTGTCAATGTTTCTTTTTATTGGTTTAGGTTTCAGCATTGGAAAAACACTTTAGTGAAATATCTGGTGAATGCTTTGGCAAAAGTTTTGGTGAAAGATTAAGTAAACATTTTGGTGAAGGACTTGACGCACACCTAATCGAATGTTTTGAATTTTCAATGTCAGAAGATGGTTGAAGTTTATCGTGAGACTCATCCTTGTCAACAGAGAAAAGTTCGTAATTGAGATTTTTTGATTCTTCTATTGAACTTGTTTTTAAAGGATCAGCGACATTTTCGGATTCAATTTCTTTAATTGAAGAGTAATAGGAACTACCTTCAATAGATTCACTAGACAAATGATCTGATCGATTTTCATCATAATCATCATCATCATCGTCATCATTTAAAGGTAGATAGTAGTCGTATTCACTATCGAAGGATTGGCAGTGTTTCTGTTCCATTTCTGTAACTAGATATAAATATTTACTTTTATAAGGGTGCATCCATAAAGTACGTTC